ACAGCTGGCTCTGCCTCTAGATAGGCGGAGCCAGCAGCTGGGCGGATCCAGACATAATCGTCGGGATCCGTCCCGGCTGTGGCTTCTCAGTATACCGCGAGCTGTAGCTCTCTATATACTGAGCTTAGGGTGACGGGAGGACGCTAGTTTGTGTCCCCCCGTTACCCTGAGGAGATCTATGGGGGAAAGCCCTGGCCCCATAGTTCTCCTTTAAAGAGTGACTCCAAAAACAGTGTCACCATTGGTGGTGTGAGGGCAGGTTTCCAAGTCACCAAACCTATAGAGCTCTTGGGCATTTTATAGGACATGAGACACATCTGCATTGATGTAGGTCCTTGGTGGAGGGTGGTCCTTACATCTGCATTGATGTAGGTCCATGGTGGAGGGTGGTCCTTACATCTGCATTGATGTAGGTCCATGGTGGAGGGTGGTCCTTACATCTGCATTGATGTAGGTCCTTGGTGGTGGGTGGTCCTTACATCTGCATTGATGTAGGTCCATGGTGGAGGGTGGTCCTTACATCTGCATTGATGTAGGTCCATGGTGGAGGGTGGTCCTTACATCTGCATTGATGTAGGTCCATGGTGGAGGGTGGTCCTTACATCTGCATTGATGTAGGTCCTTGGTGGTGGGTGGTCCTTACATCTGCATTGATGTAGGTCCTTGGTGGTGGGTGGTCCTTACATCTGCATTGATGTAGGTCCATGGTGGAGGGTGGTCCTTGGTGGAAGAACACTGGGACATTGGTTGGCTTGGGCAATGAACCATCACAGTACAACTGTGGGGAGCTAGGACTTCAAACACACAGCACACATTGAGATACATAACCTAATGCCCTGGAAGGGACCCTCTCCTATCAATACCTATAGGACACCAGAACTTCATGGCAGGAAACATATCTGAGGAATGGTCCATGAAGGTTCTTCTTTATCCCGGTCATGTTACAGCTGGTAATAGTCCATCGCATTCCCACCCAGTCTGATGAATTCAGGTTCCAGCTGGACCGCTATGATGGCGGGTTTAGGATGTGAAGCAATGCCGCTGGGATAAATGTGAACACGGCATTCACAAAGCTTCATCGTTGCATGGCACATGTCTCCCTTGCCAACGGTTACACCAGGAAGCCCTAGGCCAGTGGTTCTCAACCTGTCGGTCGCCACCCACAGTTGAGGGGGTCCCCACGTGCCTTGTGCTCCTCAGCCTCCTCCTAGCGTGGCAGTGTCAGTTCCCCTAGACATCAGCGACTGGAGAGGATCAGAGAGAGGGGAGCGGGCAGGAGTGAGGGGAGGTAAGTGCTTGGGCACCACAGAGAGTCCCACTAGCCACCTGAGAGCCCGCATAGGCTCCTGAGAGCCCACACAGATACCAGAATTGGTGCATCCCTAAATTTTACCGCTGGGGGTCACTACAACTTGGCAAATGTTACCAAGGGGTCCCGGCCCTAGAAAGGTTGAGAACCACTGCCCTAGGCGCTTATAGAATGACTACCACAACGTGGCAGCTGCTACCGGGCCAATGGTGGGCTACCACCGGACACAACAGGGGGTTTCTATCTTTCTGGACACTTCGTGTATAATAGAGAAAGTATCCGACATGCAGGAACGCAGCACCTACTATGAGGCTACCGGGAGCGGCGCCACCAGGAGAGGTCGGGCGCCACGGATGACGGGTGCAGAGTAAACTCTCCCTTCATATCATCATCACTCAGGAACCTGAGCTATATACACATCATCCTCATCAAATCCCAGAGATTCTAATATATGATAACAGGAAGAAGATGATCCCGCCCCTTAGTCCCCGGAGCCCCTGAAGTCCCGGAGCCCCTGAAGTCCCCGGAGCCCTTGAAGTCCCGGAGCCCCTGAAGTCCCCGGAGCCCCTGAAGTCCCCGGAGCCCCTGAAGTCCCGGAGCCCCTGAAGTCCCCGGAGCCCCAAAGGTCCCTGCAGCACATTCAGTTCTAGGTCTGGAAATCTTTAGATGCAAAAAGCTTTTTTTTTGGCTACAGTTAGGTCTCTAGGACACCTAGGCGTATTGCATATGCGCGTCTGTCGCGCGTTTTTTTACCGCAATTCGCGGTAAAAAAAGTCGCGTGACAAACGCGCGTTTCCGAAGGCTACTTGGCTGTATCCCAATGGAAACGAGCAACAAAACGGCGCAAAGTAGTACCTGGACCTTTTCAGGCGCGGGCCGTTTTGTAGCGCGTTAGGGACGGGCGGAAATACGCCGAGGTGGGAACGAGACCATTGAAAACAATGCGATTTAGATGTTTGAGCGTTTTGTAGAGCGTTCGTCGAGCGTAGAACGCCGCGCTACAAAACGTTCCGGTGTGAACGAGGGCTTAGATTTGTACATAAACAAGGCAAAGAAAAGAAGTTACATTTGTGTCTTTTGTATTACGAATAATATCCTTACTTGTGTAGAACCGGCTCGCTGCTCCTCGCCCAGCTGAACGTCCCCGCGTGCACCGTGATGGCGTTTCCTGGCAATGAACTGAATCCATAATATCGAATGGGGAATGCCCCGTGTGCGGCCCGGCTCGGAAGATTCTGACAAGCGGCTCCGTGGCCTCATTGGGGATATCTCAGGAAATCGGTAGGTGGGCGACTATAAGATTGGTGGGAGAAGCTTCAACATAAACGTTACTGCACCAAAATGTTGTACCCTGTAACCTGTGTGCGGTGACCCTGCACCCCTAGGTGTAAGAGGGGGTCCCCACAAGTCTGCACATCAACTATAAAAAGAAAATCCGGAAGCAATGCTGGAAAATGTGAGAGACGCATACAGGGCCAATGCTGCCACTAGGCAAACTAGGCAGCCGCTTAGGGCACAACCTCGACCACTCACCCCCACACTGCCTCCCACACTGCCCCCCTCTATTTCAAATTGAAAATGCCAATAGCCGGCTGGCTATTGCACCAGCAACTGAGCAGAGACGCAGAACTGAGAGACAACTTTGTCTCTCAGGTCCGCTTCCCTGCTCAGTTGCTGGTGTTTCAAAATAAAATAGCCAATAGCAGTCTGGCTATTGTCCCGGCTGCTTACGTCCATCTATCACCTGTGGAAGTTAGACGGCAGGAATAGGGCCGCGCATGTTGTGGCGGGGGGCGGGGGGTGCAAGTAGCTGGTATTGAACCAGGGCGCAAAATAGTCTAGCACCGGCCCTGGATGCATATAAACGGTTTTCAGATTTTTGTTCCAGT